AACAGATGCAGTCGCTAGAGCAGTTATTGATACTGTAGAATCAGTAGGTCAGATTTAAGGTTCTATAGTGCACCATATATCTTTATCGTCTGTAGAATCAGTAGGTCAGATTTAAGGTTCTATAGTGCACCATATATCTTTATCCTCTGTAGTATCAGTAGGTCAGATTTAAGGTTCTATAGTGCACCATATATCTTTATCCTCTGTAGTATCAGTAGGTCAGATTTAAGGTTCTATAGTGCACCATATATCTTTATCCTCTGTAGTATCAGTAGGTCAGATTTAAGGTTCTATAGTGCACCATATATCTTTATCCTCTGTAGTATCAGTAGGTCAGATTTAAGGTTCTATAGTGCACCATATATCTTTATCCTCTGTAGTATCAGTAGGTCAGATTTAAGGTTCTATAGTGCACCATATATCTTTATCCTCTGTAGTATCAGTAGGTCAGATTTAAGGTTCTATAGTGCACCATATATCTTTATCCTCTGTAGTATCAGTAGGTCAGATTTAAGGTTCTATAGTGCACCATATATCTTTATCCTCTGTAGTATCAGTAGGTCAGATTTAAGGTTCTATAGTGCACCATATATCTTTATCCTCTGTAGTATCAGTAGGTCAGATTTAAGGTTCTATAGTGCACCATATATCTTTATCCTCTGTAGTATCAGTAGGTCAGATTTAAGGTTCTATAGTGCACCATATATCTTTATCCTCTGTAGTATCAGTAGGTCAGATTTAAGGTTCTATAGTGCACCATATATCTTTATCCTCTGTAGTATCAGTAGGTCAGATTTAAGGTTCTATAGTGCACCATATATCTTTATCCTCTGTAGTATCAGTAGGTCAGATTTAAGGTTCTATAGTGCACCATATATCTTTATCCTCTGTAGTATCAGTAGGTCAGATTTAAGGTTCTATAGTGCACCATATATCTTTATCCTCTGTAGTATCAGTAGGTCAGATTTAAGGTTCTATAGTGCACCATATATCTTTATCCTCTGTAGTATCAGTAGGTCAGATTTAAGGTTCTATAGTGCACCATATATCTTTATCCTCTGTAGTATCAGTAGGTCAGATTTAAGGTTCTATAGTGCACCATATATCTTTATCCTCTGTAGTATCAGTAGGTCAGATTTAAGGTTCTATAGTGCACCATATATCTTTATCCTCTGTAGTATCAGTAGGTCAGATTTAAGGTTCTATAGTGCACCATATATCTTTATCCTCTGTAGTATCAGTAGGTCAGATTTAAGGTTCTATAGTGCACCATATATCTTTATCCTCTGTAGTATCAGTAGGTCAGATTTAAGGTTCTATAGTGCACCATATATCTTTATCCTCTGTAGTATCAGTAGGTCAGATTTAAGGTTCTATAGTGCACCATATATCTTTATCCTCTGTAGTATCAGTAGGTCAGATTTAAGGTTCTATAGTGCACCATATATCTTTATCCTCTGTAGTATCAGTAGGTCAGATTTAAGGTTCTATAGTGCACCATATATCTTTATCCTCTGTAGTATCAGTAGGTCAGATTTAAGGTTCTATAGTGCACCATATATCTTTATCCTCTGTAGTATCAGTAGGTCAGATTTAAGGTTCTATAGTGCACCATATATCTTTATCCTCTGTAGTATCAGTAGGTCAGATTTAAGGTTCTATAGTGCACCATATATCTTTATCCTCTGTAGTATCAGTAGGTCAGATTTAAGGTTCTATAGTGCACCATATATCTTTATCCTCTGTAGTATCAGTAGGTCAGATTTAAGGTTCTATAGTGCACCATATATCTTTATCCTCTGTAGTATCAGTAGGTCAGATTTAAGGTTCTATAGTGCACCATATATCTTTATCCTCTGTAGTATCAGTAGGTCAGATTTAAGGTTCTATAGTGCACCATATATCTTTATCCTCTGTAGTATCAGTAGGTCAGATTTAAGGTTCTATAGTGCACCATATATCTTTATCCTCTGTAGTATCAGTAGGTCAGATTTAAGGTTCTATAGTGCACCATATATCTTTATCCTCTGTAGTATCAGTAGGTCAGATTTAAGGTTCTATAGTGCACCATATATCTTTATCCTCTGTAGTATCAGTAGGTCAGATTTAAGGTTCTATAGTGCACCATATATCTTTATCCTCTGTAGTATCAGTAGGTCAGATTTAAGGTTCTATAGTGCACCATATATCTTTATCCTCTGTAGTATCAGTAGGTCAGATTTAAGGTTCTATAGTGCACCATATATCTTTATCCTCTGTAGTATCAGTAGGTCAGATTTAAGGTTCTATAGTGCACCATATATCTTTATCCTCTGTAGTATCAGTAGGTCAGATTTAAGGTTCTATAGTGCACCATATATCTTTATCCTCTGTAGTATCAGTAGGTCAGATTTAAGGTTCTATAGTGCACCATATATCTTTATCCTCTGTAGTATCAGTAGGTCAGATTTAAGGTTCTATAGTGCACCATATATCTTTATCCTCTGTAGTATCAGTAGGTCAGATTTAAGGTTCTATAGTGCACCATATATCTTTATCCTCTGTAGTATCAGTAGGTCAGATTTAAGGTTCTATAGTGCACCATATATCTTTATCCTCTGTAGTATCAGTAGGTCAGATTTAAGGTTCTATAGTGCACCATATATCTTTATCCTCTGTAGTATCAGTAGGTCAGATTTAAGGTTCTATAGTGCACCATATATCTTTATCCTCTGTAGTATCAGTAGGTCAGATTTAAGGTTCTATAGTGCACCATATATCTTTATCCTCTGTAGTATCAGTAGGTCAGATTTAAGGTTCTATAGTGCACCATATATCTTTATCCTCTGTAGTATCAGTAGGTCAGATTTAAGGTTCTATAGTGCACCATATATCTTTATCCTCTGTAGTATCAGTAGGTCAGATTTAAGGTTCTATAGTGCACCATATATCTTTATCCTCTGTAGTATCAGTAGGTCAGATTTAAGGTTCTATAGTGCACCATATATCTTTATCCTCTGTAGTATCAGTAGGTCAGATTTAAGGTTCTATAGTGCACCATATATCTTTATCCTCTGTAGTATCAGTAGGTCAGATTTAAGGTTCTATAGTGCACCATATATCTTTATCCTCTGTAGTATCAGTAGGTCAGATTTAAGGTTCTATAGTGCACCATATATCTTTATCCTCTGTAGTATCAGTAGGTCAGATTTAAGGTTCTATAGTGCACCATATATCTTTATCCTCTGTAGTATCAGTAGGTCAGATTTAAGGTTCTATAGTGCACCATATATCTTTATCCTCTGTAGTATCAGTAGGTCAGATTTAAGGTTCTATAGTGCACCATATATCTTTATCCTCTGTAGTATCAGTAGGTCAGATTTAAGGTTCTATAGTGCACCATATATCTTTATCCTCTGTAGTATCAGTAGGTCAGATTTAAGGTTCTATAGTGCACCATATATCTTTATCCTCTGTAGTATCAGTAGGTCAGATTTAAGGTTCTATAGTGCACCATATATCTTTATCCTCTGTAGTATCAGTAGGTCAGATTTAAGGTTCTATAGTGCACCATATATCTTTATCCTCTGTAGTATCAGTAGGTCAGATTTAAGGTTCTATAGTGCACCATATATCTTTATCCTCTGTAGTATCAGTAGGTCAGATTTAAGGTTCTATAGTGCACCATATATCTTTATCCTCTGTAGTATCAGTAGGTCAGATTTAAGGTTCTATAGTGCACCATATATCTTTATCCTCTGTAGTATCAGTAGGTCAGATTTAAGGTTCTATAGTGCACCATATATCTTTATCCTCTGTAGTATCAGTAGGTCAGATTTAAGGTTCTATAGTGCACCATATATCTTTATCCTCTGTAGTATCAGTAGGTCAGATTTAAGGTTCTATAGTGCACCATATATCTTTATCCTCTGTAGTATCAGTAGGTCAGATTTAAGGTTCTATAGTGCACCATATATCTTTATCCTCTGTAGTATCAGTAGGTCAGATTTAAGGTTCTATAGTGCACCATATATCTTTATCCTCTGTAGTATCAGTAGGTCAGATTTAAGGTTCTATAGTGCACCATATATCTTTATCCTCTGTAGTATCAGTAGGTCAGATTTAAGGTTCTATAGTGCACCATATATCTTTATCCTCTGTAGTATCAGTAGGTCAGATTTAAGGTTCTATAGTGCACCATATATCTTTATCCTCTGTAGTATCAGTAGGTCAGATTTAAGGTTCTATAGTGCACCATATATCTTTATCCTCTGTAGTATCAGTAGGTCAGATTTAAGGTTCTATAGTGCACCATATATCTTTATCCTCTGTAGTATCAGTAGGTCAGATTTAAGGTTCTATAGTGCACCATATATCTTTATCCTCTGTAGTATCAGTAGGTCAGATTTAAGGTTCTATAGTGCACCATATATCTTTATCCTCTGTAGTATCAGTAGGTCAGATTTAAGGTTATATAGTGCACCATATATCTTTATCTTCTGTTATGTCAGTAGGTCAGATTTAAGGTTCTATAGTGCACCATATATCTTTATGCTCTGCAGTATCAGTAGGTCAGCTTTAAGGTTCTATAGTGCCCCATATATCTTTATCGTCTGTAGTATCAGTAGGTCAGATTTAGGGTTCTATAGTGCACCACATATCCTTATCCTCTGTAGTATCAGTACGTCAGATTTAAGGTTGTATAGTGCACCATATATATTTATCGTCTGTAGTATCAGTAGGGCAGATTTAAGGTTCTATAGTGCGCCATATATCTTTATCGTCTGTAGAATCAGTAGGTCAGATTTAAGGTTCTATAGTGCACCATATATCTTTATCGTCTGTAGTATCAGTATGTCAGATTTGGTTTTCTTATGTTGGAACAGCCTATGATATCCTGGGGTTTTTAATTTGTTTCAAATTTGTTTTTATGGGGCATAGTCAATGAGAATTTATTTTAAGGGACATGGCCAACGATAAATTGCTTATAAGGGAGGAAGTCCCACCGATACAACTACCTATCGTTTACGTAAGAATTATGTGCTGTGAAGTTGTAAAGCATTACAATAAAATTTTGAGATCTCACCTTTAGATCCGACTTTGCCGTCGGTTGATAGAACACAGCTCTGAAGATAGTCGTCGACGCGTATCACACCCTTTTTCTCCGGGACACTGGTACATGGCACGCTCTTGGCCATCACTGCCCATATCTTGTTCCCTTCAAAACTTTCCATCTCCCGGAGTTCTCGCAAATATATATACTGTTGTTTAATTAAGGTCATTTCTATATATACATTGATTTTTAAAACTCTGTTTTAGCTTTCTGATTATGAAGATTTTGTTTATATTCTTTGTTTTAATTTCTTAATAATGAAGCTCAGGCTCTTTTATGTCGATTTGTTTTCTTCTATTAAAGGGTAATAGATTTGGGATAGTAGTTTCCAAATAGTAATCGTTCATGTGCACATTTTTCTAACCCAATAATATTCAACAAGATCAGAAACATCAAATTTTGAACAGTTTAAGAACCACTAGTCCAGCCGGAGATTTCGCTAGTTTCAGACTATCGTGCCACCCTTATTGTCTAGCCCTGTATGGGAAATAAAAACAGTTTTAACTTTAGAAATAGGTGGGGGGTTTTGCAAAAAATATACAACAAAGACATAAATAACAGCTATGGACTTTATAAAGATTGATTATAAAATATAAACTAATCCAAACATAGACAAATTAAAGTTGTGAGAGGCTGCAGTCATTTTAATGATGAACAAATTATCTTTAGATACTGAGCTATTCTGTCTACTGATCATCTGCAAATTAAAAGGATACATCTCGGTTTGACATTGGGAAAGGGAAGTTCACATTCCAGTACACCAGCTTTTTACCATCCTCTTCTTTCTCATACAATTCTGGAAAGCAAAAAAAAAAGATAGAACTGGAAAAGAAATAATTTCAATTGAATAATAGGTGGCAATACATTCTACATCTCAATGAAATTATACTGATATTCAGTGAAATTTTGATGTATGAATTTAATCTGTGTATTCAGACTTCACATAATCACCTACTGATCGTTATGAAATTGGTTCACTCGTTACCAGATATTTACTTCTAAAATAAAAGCAGTTTAAAAAAGCATCAGAGCAAGTTCATTTAATAATATGTTCGTTCTTCTTCTTCCAATAATCTGCATACCACCTCTGGTGTATTGTTGCAGATGTGGCACATATACCCAGGGGAAACTTTTTTCAGCAAATTTGGTCCATAAATTTAACTTCTATACTGTAAATATCCCACCTACATTGATCCCTTTGACATAGGTGTCAACCTCTGAAACCTCTAATGAAGGAGATCTGTCATTCCACATTTCCAATGAGGGGAAAAAGTGGGTGAAACGCGACTAAAAACTGCTTTGCTCAATTTATCTTTCCCTTTATATATGTTATGTATCAAAATAATTCCACCTATTATGATCATTACACACATCCTAAAGTAACTGGGAAATCATTTGACCACAGGATGTAGATTTTGAGTTTGTGTGAGTTTGGACTTGAATGAGGGAGTTTAGAGGGAGATTGGTAAATTTTGGTCAAAAATGAGAGTCTCCCACCTTATGACAGGGGTTGACTGCTATGCTTTGGTCCATATACTTACCATGGACATAAGTATCCCACTGACGTCGGTACTCTAAGTCCATGTATACCTCGGAACAAATCTCTGGATCCACATCAGCCAGGGTACCATACACCTTGTATTTGTATAAACCTGAGGTCTGAAATTACAGATATGGAAATATTCATGTGGGAATTCATTTGTTTACGGTGCTATTAAAGCTTAGATTGTATTAACACTTCAGATGCATTATAACAGTATTGTGAGCACACAACTTGTGTTCTGTTACAAATATTGTGCATGGCCCTTCCTGTGGCGACAGGGAGTTAACAAACCTGGGCTGGATAATAAAATTGTTCAGGAACAAACACGTAAAAACAAGTTGGAATTTTACATAGGATTATGCTTTATCCAGGGGGACATTCCCTTTAGCTGAATTGCATTGGTAGAGTAGTTGACTTGGGAGCGCAACAGGGGTCTGAAATTTGCAGGAGATATTTATTATATTAATATTCATCACCCACAGAATTGAAGACTCCTATGTTGAACAGAAGAGGACAAATGCACTTCCAGACAGGGATTCAAACCTGTGACAGTCAAACTCAGTTTTAACTAATTAAGCTACCCGGTTGTGTGACAAACTCGTTGTCCAGTTCCACCGTATTCTTCCCTTCTTTTTCATTTCCCCCCCCAAACACATCACTAAAATATTTACAACCAAGGTTTGGTCCTTTCATTGTTAAGCAAACACCCAGCACTTGAAACAGGGGTTTGTAACAGACACCACCGACTGTAACAGGAGCGTCAAAATTGCACAGCCAGATCGAGATTCGAACCCTGGACCCTCTTAACTCTAGTTCCGCTACATTCCTCTCTTTCTTTCTAAGTCTTCGCCCCCGCAGACACAACCCATTTACAACCCAGGATTGGGTATCCCATTGCCAAGCATACACCAAATACTTGAAACAATTTAAGGGTTGGTCTCAGGCACTACTGTAACAGGAGAGGAAAAATAAACGACCAGATCAGGATTCAAACCCAGGACCCTCTGAATTCTAGACAGACGCTCTACCAATTGAGCTGGTTGCCGACGATCCACCCAGTCCAGTTCCGCTACACATGCACATATTATGGAGAGAAATTCTTTATATCATTTCAAAGCAAGGGTTATAGGCTTTGTCGATAATAAGATATACAGTGCCATAATTATAATAAGTCTTTCATGTTACTTCATTTTCCCATCGGATCCTTTGTTGATTTACTTTTTTTTCAAAAATGTTTCGTTACTTTGTTCGACATGGAATGTTGGCTCAGTTGTTGAGATATCACTTTTCATCCACGCATAAAGTAAATACTTTGACATAATTCCCATAGACATAATGCTAAATTTTGCCGTAAACATTGGTTTTGCCAAATAACTCATCACGGTCAAAAATCCTTCCAATGGAATAACCATACTAATATAACCAAGAAAAGCAGTAGATCATTTCTACCTTTGAGCAGAGTTAAACCATTTTTTTTAATTACAGGAAAATTAATTGCCAAAAATATAAATTAACATAGAATTCTATGGGAAAATGACGTAACGTGAAAAAACAAAACACGCTAAGCTATAAATCGCGTGAGCCTATAAATCATTTAAACGGGTTCGTATACGTTTTCAACCTTTGACCCACCTCGTTGTACTGTCGGTATATCCTCGCCACACAACCATCGTGACTAGACTCTGTGAAGAACTCATAACCGGCTTCGTTGATGTTCGGATTCTGAAGCTCCCTACAGGCCTCTTCGAAGTCTGAGTCTTGAAACATGTCGTCTGATGTATGGTTGTATTGCACTGACTCCCGTTTCCAAGTCAATATGTACTAAATTGGCCTATATGCTTTCATTCGAGGAACATGATTCGACGAGTCAACATGGATTCTTTGTTTACTTCCGGAACTAAGGGTCATGCGTTGTGGATTAGTACTTGCTTCCGGTTTAAGGATTCATTTCCCTCGAAATAATAGTATCCATGACGTGGGTCTAAGATAGTCTTATTCATTTGTATAGCAAGAAACATATTTTAAAAATAGAGATAAATGAAGAGTTTCCATGGTCGTGGTTATAAGCTGTGTGAATATTGCTTTAAAAGGGCGGATGGTTGGAAGGGAGGTAATTCCTGTAGGAACTCTATCTAAATCAGATATTTATAACGATAGATTCTCTGATTTAGATAGAGTTCCTACAGGAATTAGAAGGGAGGTACCTCGTACTTAATATACACTTTGATAATACGTGAGCAAAATGTGACCCGAATCAAGTAGGGGCAATCCGGGTAATCTCGGACCAATCACAATAAAGCTGTGCTAAACCTGGGGCCTTCTCGTTGTTTGTTGTGCGTTTGTAACATTTTGAAGCATTTCATTGAATGTGATTATCGGACACTTTTCGGGATCACGTGATCGAAGTTTCTTTAACCGGGGATTTTTGAAGGTGACCATAAAAATAAGCACTCCCGCAATAACCACAAAATGTTTATTGATTTAAATCAAGAAATTATAAAAAATAAAAAGCTTTAAGTAAATATTACTACTTGTTTTACTGTCCGACTTTATCCGACAGTATTTCGGAATCGGCGTTTAATCTCGGACAGTGAATTAGTCTTTTGCTTTTCGAATGGAAGTTATTAATTTCGTAGTCTCAACTAAATGTAATTCATATACAGTAAGTCATTCAGTAATATAAGAGTCTTTCATGCCCAGGGGTGAAGGATAGGGAAATTCCACCCGAGGAGTTTTCAAATTTTGTTTAACCCGAGGCTTTGCCGAAGGTTTGCCAAATTTGAAAATTTGAAAATCCCAAGGGTGAAATTTCCTTATCCTACACCTTTAGGCATGTAAGAGTATTTTTCTCTCATTCCAACTTCTAGAAAATGCTAATAAAATAAAATGTGTTTAGACTGTCTTCCATTTTAGAAATATCAACTTTTACCCTTATAGCTTTTTGACGAAAATGAATAAGTCAGCGAGATAGAGCATACCCCAACTTTGCAAACAATGTTTGCACTGAAACAAATAATTTCATCTATCTAATGTGTACGGCAATTATGATTTCTATCAGAAAAAGTTTTAATTTAATTTGCCTTTTTTCTGTATACGTTTAATGAATAATTCAGTATACGACTCATCATACAAAATGTCTACAATATACTCAACTCTTTTTCTAGAATGCCTAAAAACAAGAAAACCAGCCGAAAGGGCAAAGAAATGCAGTATGACAGAGAAAACCTTAAAAAATTCCTTGATGCTGTTAAATCAACAGGGTTGTCGATAAGGAAGGCAGCAGCGAAATATGGGGTCCCCAAATCGACGCTTGCTCACAGGGTAACTGAACGTATTGCGGAAAATGCTCGCCCGGGTAGACGCCCTGCCCTTCAAGAATCAGTAGAACTTCAGGACTTTTTAGATTCGTTAAAGCAGGCGGCAAGACAGGGAATGGAAGTGAGTAGAAAACAACTCCTGGAAAGCACGGGGTAGATTTGTACGAAACTGAATGCCACTCCATTCAAAAGATTTTCACCGCCAAAAGATTGGAGGGAAGGAGTGTGAAACACTGTACTTTATACTGCTGCACTATTGCTGTGAGAGATTTAACGACATTAAAAGGCTCTGTCGCAAAGACAGTTTATGCTGTACGAGTCGACGTAACGTTTTTCATCTGTATCTCAAATAGGAATGTTTATCCCAACTTCGATTAAAAAAAAAATAGGAAATAGACGCAGCAGTAAATGGGATCTTGATAAGGCGCCTTCTTGGATCCAAGATGGCGCCTTATCAACCACCTAAACCTACGCCCTCCCCCTCTTCGTCACCTCATCAGGTGTGTGTATTGCGTGTGACGTCATCAATTTCGCGTTACCGACGGAATAAGCTCCCCCTGTTTCTAACTTTCTACCTTCTGATTTCAGGTATTCTCTCCGGGACTCTCTCTCTCTATCTCGATCGTAACCGCCGGAATTACCCCCCCNCTGATTTCAGGTATTCTCTCCAGGACCGCCTCACCGTTGTTTAGGGGTGTTTTTTTCTCTTTTCTTTTCCTTTCTCCTCTTTTTCTGCTCTTTTCAATCATATATTTTCATTTTCCATAACAATCTTATGCATAAACATATTTACAAACAATAATTAAGGATTAACTTAAATATATTTTACATGTTATGGAGGTATGACACAAAAAAAACGGAGTGTAATCTAAATAAACCGCAAAGCGGTTTATGATGAGAGTACAATACGGTTTTTTTGTGTTATACCTCCATAACATGAAAAATATATTCAAGTTAATCCTTATAATTTAATCTACTATACACAATCCCTGTGGAAATCCACTTTTATTGATGGACTCTTTTCTTTTAGAAATTATTGCGCTGCTGTATCAGCCAATAAAAAGCGACGTTACAAACGGCGACGCCATTTTTTAGTGTTATGGGCTGATAGCATGCATTTTTAAGCCAATAAAAATGCTTGTTACAAGCAAAATTAAATTATATAGTTACGACATACGTTATTTACAATATAAAATGCACAGCATATTTACAATGTTTTCGAGTGTTTCAAATTGAGATGACCGTTTTCCGTGTAGAAAGTGTGTGTGTTGGTGCCCTGGAAGGTGTTGTAGCAGGTGGTGTTACGTCCTTGTTTGAACTGAAAAATGTTTTTATTTTAATGCAGTACTACGTCACTCTTACAACACATGGCGTAGTATTGTGAAACGGTAAGTATGAAATGGAAGTTGATTTGAATGCTTTTAAAAAAAATGTCTTTTATATTAATTCAGTGTTGATTTGTCATTCATAAAAAAACGATAAGTGTGAAATGAAATTGATTTGAAGGGTTATGAGAAGATAAAAAGCAACATAAAACAGAGTTATTTTCATTTTTTAAAGGTTTTAAATCTTCTCAATGCCCGCAAGATATATTAACGGCGCACGACTCAATGTATAAGCTGGGTATACGAACGTTTCCTACATTTATCGCGATTCGAATGTTTATTTCACATAACACTTTTTTATTTTTAACCAAAGAATCGCTTTTGATGTAAAAAAAAAAAGAAGTTGATTCAGTATTGTTTTTGGTCCACATTTGTGCTTATTTTGTCCTCTTTTTGTCACCAATATGTCATGATTCGTCCTCTTTTGTAGAAAACAGTATGTACTTTCGCTTTAAACTCTCTTTCTTTAACACATTGTGGAAGAAACGAGCTCGGCCTGAAGCGAAACCTATACATTACATAGGTAAAAACTTCTGTTTTCGTTGGATTTTACTACTCTAAATCCATCGGAAACTTGGATGACGTCACTGTCATCGCTCGATATAGGAACATCCCCCCCCNCACCCCACCCCACCCCACCCCTCTGCCCTCTGTTCTGGCCAAGTAGTAACGAAAGAACGCAAGGCCCGAACTGGGCAGAGCAGGCGGGATAATCCCCATCCAGAGTTGAAGCCAAAGAAGGGATAACCACAAGCCCTTGGGTGAAAACGGGAACCTGGTTCTTAGGTAAAAAGGAGGGATCAGTGGTCACTGAGACAGAAGAATGGCCAGCTGAAAAACGAAGGCAAGAAGGAGATCTGCTGAAAGCATGAATCTCGCTTCTGCGTCGACCGGAAGCAAAGGCTATCAAGAACACCGTCTTGAAAGTAAGAAACTTCCGATCCGTCGACTGGAGGGGCTCGAATGGCGCCCTCAACAAGGAATCTAGCACAATTCCACCTAGGGACCAATTGCCGTGAACGAGGCTTCGCAATATAGAAGCCCCTAAAGAGAGCAGACAATGAAGCGTTCGAACCCACAGAGTTGCTACCATAGAAAGCCAGCACACTAGCAATGGCTGAAAGATAGCCTGCAATAGTTCCCGGAGACAGACCTTTGTCCTGGAACAGGGACAAAAGAAAGTCGTCTACAACGGGAACAGAGGCAGAGACTGGATCAAACGACCGTCCGACACACCAATCACCGAAGGCGGACCATCGATATTGGTAGACGGCGGAAGACGAAGGTCTAAGTGATCCTGCGATGCGAGTTGCAACTTCTCGAGAAAAGCCCGTCTGAGTGAACCTTCCCGAGATAGCATCCAACCGTGAAGGAGGAGCCGTTCTGGTCCCGAGTAGAACTGCCGGGACCTCGGTTGAGACAGCAGATTCCACAGGGATAGGATGCTGCGTGGGAAGTCCACCGATAGCCGAAGCAACCAAGGTTGTCGAGGCCAGAGCGGTGCAACCAGCAACACAGTACAAGGGTGTAGAAGAATCTTCTCTAACACCCTGCCCACCAGATTGAAGGGAGGAAACGCATACGCGTACATTCCAGGCAAAGACCAGGCAAAGAAGGAGGAACACCGAACGCTTGATGGTCCATTCGGTGAGAACCGGGCTCCGAGACCGAGACAGAGTGTCGGCCAGAACATTCAGACGACCTAGAAGGTGCCTCACCGTGAGATCGAGACTGATCTCCTGACACAGCAACAGGACCTGGGTGGATAAAGCACACAGAGCCGGGAAACGGGTGTCCCCTGGCGCTGCAGATAAGCCACCACGGTGGAGTTGTCTGTCGCCAGACAAATGGGCTTGCAGAACATTCCGCATCTCATGAATATTGATGTGTTCTGAAAGCTGCTCCCCCAACCACACCCCTGCCGACGTCTGACTTGAAAGGTATGCACCCCAACTGGTCATGGACGCGTCGGTATAAAGGTCATATAGGGAGATGCCCGAACTAGAGGAACTCCTGCCAAGACATTGCTCTCGAGAGTCCACCACCGAGCTGATTACTTCAACGACTCCGGCAGAGGAATGTACACATCCCACTACCGAGACGCCGGAGACCAAACTGCCAGAAGGAACAACTGGAGCGGACGAATGCGAAGCCGACCCAAGGGAACCACATCCGCCAGTGAATTCAGGTAACCGAGGAACCGAATGACA